TTTTTTTTTTTTTTTTTTTTTTTAATGACTAGGTATAGTACATGTAGGGAAGCATGTTTCTATAGATATTAGTTAGGCAGCCAGTGCCTTTGCCTTCTGTAAGACCCTGTCACTATATGTTGGGGGAGGGGGAGTCTTCATTGTAATGAATATAGTACTGACTGGTGACACACCCTCATAGTGAACTACTTTTTAACCAAGGAAGCTTCAAAGATTCCCATGTGCAGTGTGCTTGCTCCCTGGAAATGAATTGGGCACCCTTAATCCTAAAATTAATATTTCCTCTATACAGTACTCCCCCACAGGTCAATGTACTTTACATTAACTGCTTTGTTTATCCCTAGAAATTAAAATGCTCTGTGAGGATCCAACCTGGCTCCCACAGGAAGAATTCCTGGCACATTCACAATTGTAAACACTTGGGGAAATATTCTGGAATTAGTCATGCAAATGAGAAATGTGGTAGCATTCGTTATATAAACAAAACACTCCCACACTATTTTCAGTATGTGTCACTTAGCCCAGTCACATGACAAAGCCAGCAGCTCTGAAATCATCAGGAGTTGGCTGGTATAACTTTGAATTAACTTCAAATACAAAGTCAAGTCACAAAAAGGGCAGTTGTGGTTTTCATACCATAACACATCCAAACACAGAATACTTTACAGCATTGGTTCACATACATCAGTTTTTGCTGGGGGGTGTTTGTGTGCATTGGCAGGTACCATATGACTTTAAAGAAGCAAGTTCCTTACCCTGTGTATTATTAGCTTATTTGGTGTATGTTTTATTTCCAAAAGGCACTAGAGCCTTTCTGGATATTTCAGGCCACATTCTGGAATAATTAGAAAATTCAAATGGCATCATTGGAGTTGTTCTGGGTTTATGTGAGTGTAATGGAGATCAGAATTTGATCTTTTAACTTTGAATTGTGGCTAAATAAAATATGGTATAAATTAATCTTTTGGAGCTGGCATGACACTTATGATGGCTGCCATTACCACAAAGGGTAATGCCCTAACATATTAGCATCTACTGCCAATACCATAAGCTTTGTATGAAGATAAATCATACGGTACAGGAGAGATTCTTTGTTTAAATACAGCAGTATTCCAAGAGAGCCAATTCCTAAAATAACCTTATGCTCATTTACACCACCAGACCAGTAGCATTAACTTCTTCTGGTAGCAATAGTAGCAGATTCTAGTGGGCCTTGTCACATGGTAATTTTAGTTGGCTCCCAGAGCTCTTAACCCCGCAGTGGACCACGCATTACCACCTTTAAATGGCTTAAGGCACTTATTATGCTGCTCCAAGGCCAGACTCTTGCATGATCTGCATAACCTCCATGAAGGTGCAGCCACTCTTCACAGCTGTGCTTCTCAAGTTGAAGTCATCCAGTATCCCAGGATTTTTTACATAGTGCTTCTGTGCACAGCTGAAAATGGCAACAGCTTGAGGTGGGTCAGGGCCAGTGGGGGTTGAGGCATGGAAAGCTGGAGTCAGTGCACCAAGATGCTGCTGCAGGACAGGCAGAGCATGGCCCAGCACAAAAGAAAGAGCTGCATGAGGTGGTGCTGAGGAGGAGGTGGGCGCTGCATGGTGGGGGCTCTGGCACTGGCTCTGCTGTCTCACCCAATGAAGTGCTGATGGCTCCATCACTGCCCAGCCTGAGAGATTGCACCATGCCGCCCTGCTGGTTTCCTTCTGCAGCACCATGCCATGGCTGGTGGGAGCATTTAGTAGCCTCAGTAGTGGCAGGTGAAGGTTGAGGGGGAGGATGAGGAGGTGCTATTTCATCATGGCAAGCCACCAGCATGCTACCTGCACTAGGCTCCAGGGGAGGCAGGTGATGTTGCTGGGAGGAAACCAGAGGGGCAGCGCGCAGTGCTGTGCTCCTGGGCCAGCCAGCGATGGAGCAGTCAGCGCCTTGCCGAGCTGGACAGCAGAGCCAGTACAATGCCATGGCTGGTGGGAGTATTTAGCAGCCCCAGTGGCTGGGGACAGTGAGGAGGGGCAGGAGTTACTACCTCATCACTGCCCATGCCAGGCTGTAGGAGAGGCAGGTGTCTTGGACAGTTACCTGTTCCTGACCCTCTTCCCCAAGCCCTGGTAGAGCAGGGAGAGAAGCCTGGCCTGGATCACCAGGTCTGTAGTGGCAAGTCACAGCTATGCAGGTGGGAGATGGAGAAGGTTTTTAGCCTTAAGGTGTGACTGCTTCAAACTTGAGCCAGCACTAACACCAATCAACATTTGTGTGGCTCACAGCATAACAAGGCCTGAAGAAATCTGGTTGGGAGACATCTTGCTCCTTTCTCCATAAAAAGAGTTGAACCCAAGTGCATATCAGCATGCACAGGAAACTTCATCCTCTTGGGTTCTTCTATGAGGCTCACTGCATCTTGGGGCCATAATGAAGGAACCAATTCTGCTTTCCTTTGACCATAGTGGGAGTAAGATTAAGCCTGAATTAATTTTCAAAACCACAACGCAAAATGTGTAAATTGAAAATACCATTAGTAAAAAACAAAAAGAAAGAAACTTGTTATGTGCTATTTCTATGCTGGCACCCACTAAAATGGACAAGAACACCTAGCAGCATGAACAACAGCCAGTCTGCTTGACTGCCTGTAGTTCCTACACATAGACTAGACTGCCACATGCTCCTTCTTGGTATTAACCCGTCTGTATGCACCAAGTGGAAAAGTGCACAGGATTGCTCTGATGTGCAAATCTCTCCTTCTCCCTTCCATGACTAGAACATATATATTTGTGCTTGTCTCCTTGTCCTCCTCTCTTGTTGGCAAGGAGGTGAATATGTACAGTAGCTTTTCATTGCGAGTCAAAAGTAAAATGCACAGCTTGTCTGATACACAATGAAAATGTGCTCTTTGGGCACCTAGACGTGTGATGGAGCTCTGCTCCAATCTGTGCTAATTAGCAGGCATTGGAGCAGACTCGATTAATTGAGTCTGCTGCAAGTTTGCTGGCATGTGCTAAGTACCGTGCTCCAGCAACCCCCACATCAAATGATCTTTAGTTAAAGCACCCCTGCTGCCATTTTGAAATGTGGGCCACTGAATACATGTGCCATTGTGAGTGCTTTAATTAGAGTGGCTCTCAGAGCCTCCTCTACCCCAGAGCATGTGTATAGATACCCTTTGCTCCTGGGGAAGAAGTTGCACATCAAGTTACTACTCTAATGTGCTTGTACAGAACTAATTAATGCTATAGATATAGAAATGGCTAGATTATAGTCTGACTCTTACAACTGCTTAGAATACTTTGAAATATCAATTTAATTAGCCTAAGATTATTTTTAACCTAGTACAGTTTAAGAGAATGTGTGCAATTCTCTCTCTTCTTCCCTCTTACCCCACTGCTAGCCTTTTTTGCCTAAGTAAAGACCTAGCTAGAAAATTAAAGTTGCAGCCTTTTTTACACTGTCAACCCACACAAGGGAAATTTCCAAAGTCTTGTTGGCCTTAGGGGTCTGAATCAGTTGTTGTCCTAATCTCTGATGTAAAGAGCATTTTACTTGCAACTGTTTTGTTTTTGACTGGAAACTGTTAACAGTTTTGCTCCCTTTAGCTTAATAGTTACTATGTTGTCACATGGAAGAACTAAGGGGTTTTGGTGCATGTGTTTTACGTATAGCTTTGAGCATTTTAGGCCTGCTCTGCAGAGGTCTTTATGTAACAAACTTTCTTGTCCTCCTCCTCCTTGCCAGTACTGACTGGTGAAAGTTGATTTCTCTGTACTGTGACACAGTGTTCTGGCTGGTATGTGCTGGTAAAAACTTGCTAGAAACTTGTAGTCGAGCTGGTTTCCAAAATATCCAAGATAAGATGCCTTGGGCAGGAACCTCAAGCTCTCTGTAGAGGTGAGGGCCTTGGCTTGCTCTACCAGGAGTGAATCTTCGGGGAACAGCAAGAGCTGCTCTTGTCAAGTCTTCTCTTAAACATTAACATTGTCGCCTGTGTACATTATATAACATATTGATGATGATGACCTGTAAGTTAAAAAAAAATATATATATGGGAAGCCTCATTACATTGAAACGAGAAAACTGAGGGCCTTTACTTTGCTTTCTCCCTGTGAGAATGGAAGCCATTGAAAAAACCTGTCTTTGGGAAGGTTATGGTCTGCATTGCAGCTGACTCTTGGTCCCTATAGAAGGGACTTAATACAATCATCATTATACATTTATCTCTTACTTCTAGCTGCAGGTTTCCTTCTCTGTCTTACCGTCTCTTTTTGTCTTCCTTGCTCACAGTGCTGAGCCTTGCTGCTAGGCTTCAAGCTTCAGAGCCCATGGTATAGCTATTGAAACAGTGGAGCCTGGTGGTTCCTCCTTCATAATTTGCCTTCTAATTTTTCTTTCCCAGTAGGAGTGCCTTAGTACTGTATATTAGTGGCTTTGTTCCTGTTGTGAAGTTCTTGACTGAATCTGTTGCTTGACTAATACTCTCCTGTCACTCACAGGATTCTCAGCAATGGGGTAAATCAGTTTGCTTGTTCCCCCTAGCCCAGTGGCTCTGTAGACAGTATATTGGCTCTGTATACACCAAGCTGCATGCAAACCTTTCACTTTTGCTTAAATTGGTGCCTTAATTTCTAAAAGTGAAGGAACCTGTCAGTAATGTTCTGTCACATGAAAGCATATTTGGGATTTGAGCTGTAAACCCTGACTTATGTCAGTGTCCATTTTACCAGGAACTGTAACAATGAGATTTCTAATTTGTATACACTTGGGGGTGGGGAGCATACTGGGTTTGGAGGTAACTTGCTTTTTGTTTCTGTTATGTACACTCAGGAAGGTGTACCTTCAGTAGGAAGGTAAACTGAGTTTGAACGTGACTTTCAGCAGCCACCTTAACTATCATGGTATTAAACCTGACTTTGCAGTAGAGACGGAGACCAGTGATGTT